AGAAGTGAATGTTGTATATATATAATCTAACCTAACCTGAGATATAAAATTTCAAATATTAGGGTATTAAATTTTTTATCTTAATGTGATATTTAAAGGGTTAATGTATATACTTACCCTATATTTAGTAAAAACCCACCAAAGATAACAAAAGGAACAATTAGCGGAGGTCCTAAAGAAAGTGCCATTGTAGTGGAAGATGATACACAAGATATAAGGTAACCTGTACAAATACACAATTAAATAATTTTCAGTGGCTGCTTCTTCCGTTTTATTAACGTTGCGATTTCTATAAATCTTGAGGAATAATACCATTCTATCCGAGAATTTCACTAAACTTATAGTAATCCAAGTTAATAAAACGGGTGCAAAGTTGGGAATGTTTAATGTATGAGGGAGAGAAGGAGACGCTATTTCTTACCAAAACTAATAACGGCATTAACAACGAGAACAAGTGTTCCAACTGTAATAAAGAACCTCGGCAGCTGCGGATTCAGTCCAATAAGAAAATAGCAAATTCCGGTAAATATAACGGGAATAAACGTAAATAAGGGCATTTCTGCCAAGGTCTTGCATAGAAAGTACACGTCCGTGCGGTACATTCCGTTTTTATTTTCTCGCAAGAATATAGGCAATTCTGAACAAAATACCTACAAATGTAAAAATTTAACTTTTCTCTATATATTTCGAGTAAAAATACCTCAACTACTTACCGTTATTACGGCAAAAACGTTTTGAAATGTCATATTGATTATGAATATATACAGCACTCCGTTGATATTTGTAACACCATCTTCGTCGTAGCTTTGATGGAAAAATATTATGCTTGTTACACAAGCTATGAGCTAAAAAAAAATAAAAAAGGTATATTTCCTTCATTGGTATTAACAAAAAATGTGGCAGAAAGGAAAAAGGTATATTTCTATTTCACATTCAATCAATTTTACAAAAAATATAACTTAATCATATTTCTTGAGATAATGTACTGCACACGCATATGTACATAATATTTCTTCATTTACGAGAAAATTAGGGGTTATTCTTAACACAATTGTTTAGAGTTGTAAATGTTAGTTTACGTTATTTCGGGTTGTAAATTTTGTATACTTTTCTTTCTTTAAGAATATATTCGATTTTTCTAAATGATGTACCGTTATTAGGTAGGTGACCTTTCGAGGATGGCTGGATGCACCGGCATTAGTCGAATTAGTTTAGAGGTAACTGTAATACAAATTTAAATTTGGGAGGATCTTCTACGATCCCAATAATACAATAGTTTTCAATTTGCGGGTGTTTATTTTACGATTTTGATAGTATCGTTGTTGTTTATTGATGTCTCTGAATTTCACATCCCTCTCTTGCAATATTTTGGGTTTGAAAGCCCCGCCTTGTGAGTGTCCATCGAAATGTTTAAAAACCATTGGTATAAGAAGTGAGGCAAGAGATTTGAAACGGACCGAGCGTTTAGAGCAATACTTAGCATTCGGGAAGACGCCGGTTCGATTCTGGGTACATCTGCCTTGGTCCAAGTTTTTCTGTGATTTCCTTGGATCACTTAAGCAAATGCTGGGGCAGTAATATTTCACAGGTAATCTTTTATTATCTTCTATCTTCATTTCGTCCGTCTCATTTTTCTCACCCAAACCTCCACCCACCCAATCCTACGATTCCCGAAAGGAGACTGAAGAGGGTCTTCCGCCCTACCTTCTGGCGTAGTCCGGAGGGACTGTCCACCCACCAGCATTAGTGGCCAGTGGGAATGAAACAACCAAAAGTTTTTGAAGTGAAACTTCTATATAGACGGGGGGGTATTACGATTTTTTCTGTCACAAAAAAGCGTTACGGCCGGGCGGAGGGGATGGAGGGTGTATCGCGTGGTGAGAGGCAGCAGCGGCGAACGGAGAGAAAGGCTGGCGGCGGTAAAGAGAGGGTAACGGCTGTATTAGATGAATATATTGCTAGAGTCCCGGCGGCGTGTGCTGTGCTCAGTTGTTGTTTTCTTAGCTCTGCTCTCCATGTGGCTGGGCATCATTGCCTCTATTTGCGGTCTGTATAAAAGCCAAAATGAATGACAACGGACAAGTGGAAAAAAACGAATCGCAACAAAATGTTTACTTCAAGTTTTACAGCCAGATTTTTAATGTAGGTAGTACTTGACCTATTTGAAAACCTGCCCGTAAAACTTCAAGTAAAAATTTTCTCCAGTTTTCAAATTGGACAAGTACATTAACAATCTGCCCGTAAAACTTGAAGTAATAATTTTGTTGCGATTCGTTTTTGCACTTGTCTGTTGCCACTTCTACTGTGTGTCCCAGCACACATTTCGTTTTTACTTGAAAAGGACTTCCATCGATTCACTTGTACAGTTATTATTATTCATTTGTTTATGTTGTAAATATTTGTTTGTAAATATAGGTTTAAACATTCTACTTCGCTGCAAGACTTCTCGTTATTTTACCTTTCACATCAAAGTTAAGCAACACGTCTTATCAATTTAACGCATGTGCAGATATTCCCCTTACAATAGTAAGTTCCAGAATATCTCCCTGAGAACATTTTACAACAATAGTAACTAGAGGCTATCTCAATTTTTCCTAATTAATAATATGAAAAATGTGCAAATTCAATTGATGATAGGTAATTGAGTCATGGATTTAGTTATCTACCAATTTTACATCGAAATTAGGTGATTAAAAACTGATAATCACAAGAAAAGCAAATCATTTGCATTAACGCATAGAAAACAAAATGTGTTTTACTAATAGAAGGTCTTAAACAAATCAATTTGAATTGAAGTGGTCGACCCGTATTGTTATAACATATACAAAAAAATATACTTCAAAGATTAAAAAGATTATTGATGATCCAAATCCAATACAACTCCAACTGACGACAACCTTTAGACACGAATCAGGACAGCATCAGTTACAGATGTGCGGTTTTCTTTAATGAAATTGTAACTTTACGAACTGATATAATCATTAAAGTCAAAAACGAAGAAGAATATCCCAAAATCATCAAATGTGACAAATTTTATTTGGTCATGCATACTAATGTGACTTGACTATTTTATACTTAAAGTTAACGAAGAGTACACTCCTGTTCTCCATATTGATGATTTATTACCATTATCATTATCTGAAGACTCACCAAATTATGACTCCTTGGTAAGAAGCAGATTGCCATAGGATTCTCATTAATGATAGGACAGTTAAATGAAGTACCTATATTGTGAAAATTATTCGGACACCCAATCATAAGTTAGGTTGAATCATAACTTAACGTAATTCAATCATAACGTAAGCTAAAGGAAATGTTAACAAAGGATAAAAGTACTACAACACTCATTTCGTTCGTCTTGTGTTTACCTGCTGTAACCTTATGATTACAACTAATCGAATGAAAGCTTTAAGTTCAATTATGTAAGTTAGGATTATGAGGTATGTAAAGACAAAATGAACAAGAAGTGAATGTTGTCGTAATGAACTGTTTTTTGTTTACACGGTTGAACTAATCTTAATCTAATCCAATTCTAACCTAGTAAGGAATTCAGTGGCAGACAACATCGTCACAATAGGTACTGATGGGCAAAATTATGATTAGGGCTGAAAAGCCTAAATGAACTATTAGGTCCAAATGTTTGGTCGGCAATTACGGCTGACATCTGCATTGATAACGTGGGCGCTAAATGTTGCTAACGGAACGTCTGAAACTGGCAATTTATTTAGACCACTTTTCTTCAGCCCGAATCATAATTCTACAATACTGAAGGGTAAATCAATACCCAATTCGAAATTTCGAGTTGCAAATCGAAATTTTGAGTTGCAAGTCTAAATTTAAAAAAAAATTGGTTGTCTGTAAAGTCGGTTTACTGACGATAGTTGAACGTGACAACGTCATAATAAAATACTGATGAAATGGTTTCATCTTTCAAAAGAAAATTTTAATTTTATTTGTTTGATAGATATTTTGTATGGATATAGAGGAGGTAAATGGAAATCACAATTGAATTAATCAAGTTACATTTATTTGTACGCATAAATACAATTATGTCAATTTTTATTTATTTTTTTTCCAATGTACATAGTTTTTACAAGTATGAATGTGCTTTGAGCAATTGTTTTACAACTTTTATTTACAACTTTTAAACATCATTAAAATTTTTGTTTCACTAGCTTCAATTCGACAATATATCACTGAACATATATTTAATATCGAAAGAATCATTACCTTTATCGCCGCAATTATCGTTGCTATAAACAATTGACACCACATTCACTTTTCACTGCACTTCATACTTGACGAAAACATGTAAATGTATTATTGTATAGCAGCTGTCCACGCGGACGCATCGCTCACTCAAGTAGGAGAGAGACAGATGTCGAACGCTGCCGAACGCGGAGGCCGATTGTGCCTCTTTGTCGCTCGTTCCGCGCTCTCGCTTGCACTTCAAGCCTTAAATGGAACGCCTCAGAGCGAGGTAATGCCGCATGAGTCATGTTTTTTCGTGCGTGCAGCCGGCTCCATCGAATTATAAGACGTTGCACGTCAAAAAAATTGTTTAGCCCTTTTACGCTTTTGTACTAATTATACTCCTATTAAAAGTAGAGGAAGAATATGTACATAATAGGTAGTTATTTTGTATTCATGAATAAAATAATTAACGTAAGTTAATTTCTAATTGCTTGATACTAATATCCTTCCGTGCATTAGCAATATTAAGAAGATAAGAAGGAACTTCAGAAGCACCCTAATTAAAATATATCTATAAGAATATTTACATAATGAAAGATACTAATCGAGCCAAGCAATCAAAATGTTACGTAAAAGCATTTTGTCGTCTTTGCAGACGATTATGCTGTAAAATACGACAACGAAAACATATGGCACTTCACTTCTCCTAAAATAATAATTGTAAAATGATGAACCAAACGTCGTACTGCCGCGTCGCGACGATTGAAAGTTTGTGCAGTAGCCGACGTATGAGTAGAGTAAATGACTACCAGATTGACAGGTATATAGGTACGAGGGCGGTTCAATAAGTACCCGTGTTTGAAGACAGAGGACGTTCCTGAGGGAAATTGGTCTTGTCATCCGGTACTGCCATCTATCAAACCACACCAAAACGAATTTCAGACTGATTGATAGGTTAGTTTGGATTTGGCAGCCATTCGACTGAGACGTGTTTCATTATTTTCGCTAAAATGGAAAAAGGGTAGTATCGTTCGGTAACTCGCTTTTTGTTTTTGGATGGGAAGAAATGCGGGGAGATGAAAACAAAGTTGGATACTGTTTATGGAGACATTTCGCCATCTATAGCCACAGTTGGATATTGCTTCAACGAATTTACACGTGGACAAATATCCGTTTTTGATAGGAGCGACCAGGAAGCCTGGCAAACGTTGTTACCGAGGAAATAATTTTACGGATTTTTTTGGAAAAGGAAGAACGATCACTGGACAATACTAGAGTGAGTTATTGGACCGCTTCGACAAAAAATTGAAGGAGACACGGACGCATTTGGCGAAAAAGAAGGTGCTTTTTCAACACGATAACGCACCGGCACATTAATCAGGAGTTGTTGCCGCCAAACTGCATGAATTACGTTATGAACTGCTGCCGCACACCCCATACTCGCTTGATTTGACTTCCTGCGACTTCGTCTTGTTCCCTACCATGAAGAAATGACTCGCGAGAAAAAAATTTAGCTCAAACGGGGAAGTCATCGACGAGACAGGGGGGATTTTAGAATCAAAAAAATGGCAGGGACGTTGGGAAGTGTATCTTTCTAAAAGGGGACTATGTTGAAAAATAAAAAAAAAATTATAAAAAAGAGGTGTCTTCATTTGTAACACGGGTATTTCTTGAACCGCCCTCGTAGAAACGTTTACTACACCAATAAATGGAAGGCTCAAGAATACTGCTGGATCAAAGCGATACAGCATCATTGCTCTGACAAATTTGCAGTTCAGTGACGCGTAAAAACAAAATTTTGAACACAATACAGAGCACCACTTCTCTCCACTGTTAATTTGCAACTATTTGTAACTACGCTGCTTGCCGTAGCTGAGCAGTTATCACAGACCGATTGTTTCCGGCTCGATTTGCACAGCGAATCCGAAGATACATGGCTTTTTGTTCTCCTTAAAAGCCAGTCACTTAATTTTATTATGATACTGGATTCAAATCTTCATCATTTTGCCCTTACATATGGTAGCCCATCAAGTACAAATTTTTTTGCAAAAGGGGGTTAGCATTTTCGTAGAATTTAAAAAATTCATCTAAACAAATTTATTAATAAACTATGTATTTAAATAGAGATAATTTCGATGTGCGAGATTGGGGTCGTTTATTCGACGTTTCGTCAGCTTGTATGGTTGGCATCCTAAGAGAATCTATCTCTTGCGTAAAAAATCAATATTCTGTGGGAAAAATCTTTTTTGTAAAGAATGAAAAATTTCCTAATATAAAAAGTGTGAAAGCATTTTACCTATGTCAAATTTACAATTTAAGAAAACAGGGCTGTAAATTGCGAATCGATCGTTCTCTGACAAACTCACGTCTACGAGTCAGAACGACGTAAAAGAAGAAAACGAAGAAAAGCTAAAACTATGAAAAAATGATAATAGTCGTATATGTGACAATTTCGTTCTTATTTGCACATTTATCAGCTGTTTATGTCTTTTCACCCTTTTTGAGGAATCATGAGACCCATCTCGAGTGGCGTTATTTTTATATTCCTTTTTTCAAGGGCTGTATTATATTAACCCATTCGAAAATCTAATTAACTCAAGAAACCAAACTATGTTTTGAGTAGGTATACCGATTATTGTAAAATAAATATAATCCACTAAAATAACAACGTTGATAAATTGACTGGAATATTACCATGCAGTGGCGAATCCACGGGGAGCAATGGAGAAATTTCACCTCCCAAAAGCTCTATAATTTATGGATTGCTTTAGTACTTTGTAAAATGTTATGTGAGAAAAATCTAATTAGAAGATTTGCCCCTTATTAAAAAACTACCGCACGCTCTGCAGCAGCAACAATGTTCATTTAACAACAATTTTTGTGTTTGTAACTTGAACGAATGCCAAATGCAGCTTTATAAAACTTATCTTTTGGACAGGTGTATTCTAAGGTTGTTTCATCAAAAAAATTGTTGAAGACCGTAATTGTAACTTTCCCCATTGAACCGAAATATGCCTACCTCCTGTATTTCATATCTTGTGTTAAAATTAAAATAAAAAATTAGTTTTCTGAACCTCTATAAGAATTTTCAAAAGTATACGAACCCCACCTAAAATTACTTGCCGACCTCTGACCTAGATTAATCGATATTACCCAAAAAACAACAACAGCTTTGAATTTTTATTCTCAGATTTTTTAATTGGAATTAATTTGAGATATTAACACTCAAGAATAAATCACAAAATTGGTATTCCGTCTGGCACTTTAACAAAATCATTGGGACAACGTTTAAGTCGAAATCTCCAGTTTGCTACCTACTAGGAAAAATTTCAGCGAAAATTAGTTTCCTTGGATCACTTCCACAGATAATCTTTCATTGTCTTCTGTCTTCATTTCGTCCATCTCATCTTTCTCACCTGAGCCACCACCCACCCATTTCCACGCCCTACATACCGGACTAATCTGGAGGGACTGCTCGCCCACCAGCATAACTGGCTGGTGGGAATGAAATACCCCAAAGTTTGTAGTAGTGTTTTTCAGCGTAAAGTTACGCACTACATCAACCGACATTGAAAAGATGTACTTCCCAGCACCTCCACCGGAATTTTTCATTTTTCAAAAGGTACATTATTATTTATTTTTTGTCGTTTTTTATTTTCTCCTTAGAGTACACCCTATATCTGTTACTGTTTTTCCTTATAAAAATAAACCAGGAGGCTAATATTGTTTGAATAGTTGTTAGAAACATGACTGAAATCCTTAACTCAATAAAATGGTATACTTAAGAACAATAAAGTCTACATGATATTTAGATCAGTTGTAGGTATATTTCAAAAAGCTAATGTTGAACGTATGGACTTGACTTTTTTCGTGTAGATATCTATCGTTGGTTACACACATACATCACATTTTGTTTACAGAAATGAATGTGTTTTACTCACCAAATTTTGCAGCATTCTGACTTTTATAATGAGAGGTTCCTTAGTAACACCCAACCATGATCTCCATAAAACTGCAGTGAATTGCTTCCACCAGTTAACTTTATAAATAACAGACCTTTTCATTTCTCCATTGACAAAATAAGACGAAATATCAAAAGCCGATGATTTAATCTGCAAAAAATGGATGTAGATTCATAAAAATAAAGAAACTATAATGGAAAATATCAAATAACAAACTCAACAAAAACCAAAGCCGTCCACGCAATTGTGAATATTTCAATGATGACAAAGGTTCTGTTGTTTGTTAACTTTATCGTCGCAAAGATTTTGATTCAAGGGAAATCAAATTACGATTCTTTCGTCGTTCAGTTAGCTTGAATGGGCAGTTTTAATAAAAAAAATATCAAATGATAGGCAGACAATGAATAATGAGGAATCATGCAGTCGTGACAGAAGATGCTCAAATTTAAAAATTAAGCTATGCTGATTAGCTTATATTTAAAAAAAAATGGTAGATCAGAACCTGTTAAGTTAGTGATGAAAAGATATTAAATTAATTAGTTGTGTATATACGCTTAAGCGCGATAATTAGACGTCTTTATAATACAGTGACATTTTAAATGTGTCTAGGAGATATTTGGCCCCTACAACTAGTCTAACTGCTTACAAAAAGTAACGAAATAGTTTTCTAAGTATCATGTTTAAAAATGAAAACCCAGAATATAAATAAAATTACGATTTTTCTTGCGAAGTTTGAAGCGGCTGGCAGATATTACCGCCGATGTACAGTGTCTGGCAGTATTGATTATTAATTTTTAAACAATATTTTGTGAAACATTATGTAAAAATCGGCACTTTAACTTTAAGAAAAGCGAGTAAAGTTTTTACGTTCCTTTAGCACCTGATATCTGCAAATTGGCCGTCAGTCATAGTTAGTAGGTATGCATATGTTCAAAGTACATATTAACACTAATCTTTCCCACTCATTTTGTTACTCAGAAAATAAGTAATGTCTGGCGGGTCTGGGATCTTGAGACTATAAATATTCGATAGGCACCTTATAGAAGATACCGTGCCTAATTACAAAAAGTATATTGTAATTTCACTATGTGCAGCAAACACTCATTCTTTTCAACCCAAGTACAACTTTAAAATAAATGTTCTAGTTTTAAAATGATACTTTAAACTAAAAGCGAATAGTTTCCCCTTAGAATTACATTATGATATGGTGAAGTAGTCAGAGAAACCAATTCAAAGCATAAACCCTAAGCAAAATTTTTTTTTTTTATTCGTGTAAGTACCTATGTTTTTCATTTACTTAATCGGTCATATACATACTGATACTAAAAAATAGCAATTTGTATCTATACAAATTACATTATAAAAAATACTCATATTTTTTAAACAAGCTCGCATTTTCAACGCTAAAAGTACGTATTTATTTCAATGTGCCAATTGTCTATTCGCTGAAGTCCATTTTAAAGGAAGCAATGTTTAATTCAGTATTAATCATTTTAAATTGTTAACAGTCATTGTAATAAAGTTAAAATTGACATTTTAAAATGACAATTATATTTTCCTCAAGTTAAATTACGATTTTGATGTTCACAATCTGCTATCAATTATTATACTGTATATAGATATCGTAGAAGCTACAATACATTTGCGATATGTAAAGATTAAAGTTTCCTACCACAGTGGCTGCTTCGAGAGCGATTTTGACGCCGTTTTCGGACTGGTCGAATCTGTCGCAAATCATGGTAATGGCTTGTTTACAGGACTCCTCTCGGCCCGGTTCTATTGCCAACAGNGAAGAAGTACATGTGTCTGTACCATACTTCTTGGTCTTGGTATTCTACTAATAAATAAAATAATTCGAAGTGGTCTGTATTCTGTCGAAACTGCCAGACGCGGATCGCGATTTCGATCTTTTTTGATCTCATTAGCGCGTCGCAGACAGCTCCGACAGAACACAGACCAACTTTTACTTGCTGTCTTAACAGCGCGTTTTAGAAAATACCACAAATCCACGTGTGGACCTTGTTGAAGCATACGTAATCCTAAAATGTAGCATCATACTACAGATGGCATTTACCGCGCCATTTGTGGTATTTTCTAAAACGCGCTGTTAAGACAGCAGGTAAAAGTTGGTCTGTGTTCTGTCGGAGCTGCCTGCGACGCGCTGATGAGATCCAAAAAGATCGAAATCGCGATCCGCGTCTGGCAGTTTCGACAGAATACAGACCACTTCGAATTATTTTATTCGATTAAGCTAACGTGCCTATCACGTTGAGGTTGGCTACGCCGGGATTCGTTTTCAGCAAGTAGATATCCACACAAGTGGACCTTGTTGGAGCATACGTAATCCTAAAATGTAGCATCGTACTACAAATGGCGTTTACCGCGCCACTTGTGGTATTTTCTAATCCTTTATACTATTCATCAATTGTTAAAGAAAGTGAAAAGTGTTTGAACATAGGAATTTACGGTAACTGTACTAACAATATTAAGGTTTTTCTAAATTATGTTGCACAAAATAGATATTTTAAAACGTAATTATGAGGAAGAAATATCACGCAAAATTTTTTAGTAACAGAAAGAGGCGTATATATGTGTTTTACAATCTCCATAAACTCTTTCTAATAATAATTCAAATCAAGAGCCTGCATTTTGCAGTGTCGTATTTTACGCAAGCCATTATTTTAATACCATTTGTTATATTTACATCCTTTATATTAACGTATTTAATGGCTCAGAAACCGTTGTTCTTATATCTCATCGTTATATGAGAACTCGTAGAAATAACAGTAAAAGGAGATGAAACAAATAGCTCTAGAGGTTTAATTTTCTCCAATATATATAGGTACACTATTATTAATATAAATTCAAATCGGAAAATTGCTGGTTCCTTCGATAAAAATGTGATTTCTTGTAATTACATAATTAATAAATTTTGATTCAAGGGAAATCAAATTACGATTCTTTCGTCGTTCAGTTAGCTTGAATGGGCAGTTTTAATAAAAAAAATATCAAATGATAGGCAGACAATGAATAATGAGGAATCATGCAGTCGTGACAGAAGATGCTCAAATTTAAAAATTAAGNTTTTATTTAAAAATATATACCTTTAAGTAGTCTCTATTTCGTCTTTTTGTATATGTACCCATATAGTAAATTTTTACTAAACTGAAAATTAAACTTTACAGCGCTTCTTTAAATTAATCTCTTTCATCTTTCTTAATCAAGTCCCATCTCCTTCTTTTCATGTTAATTTTATTAAACTGCTTAATGCTTTTGAGTTAAGTAAAGGAAGGCAATTATGAAGTAGTCTCAAAACTCTTACTCTGAAAAGAAAACATCAGCTTGGTCGGGGGTTCCCAAAAAAGCAATTCTCCCTTCTGCCATGAATAGAAGACTATCAAACATGGAATATAAATCTGATGATGGCTGATGAATAGTGCAGAGGATTGTCTTTCCCTTTTTTGCTAGTCCTTTTAACACTTGCATCACGTTTAATGCCATAAAGGAGTCCAATCCGGAAGTTGGTTCGTCGCAGAACATTAACGAAGGATCCGTGAGAACTTCCGAGGCGAACGAGAGCCGTCGCATTTCACCACCTGATATTCCCTTTAAACGACCGGGAATACCTATCGCAGTGTTCTCGCAATTTCTCAGTCCGAGCTGCAAAACAAACTTTTACTGCTAATACTTAAACGATTCGTTTGTAATATCACTAAGTTTAATTTCCTGTTTTGTCTGGAAACGTTCTTAAAATTCAACTGGGAGTTGAAATGTCTATGATAAACAGAATGTGGATATTGAAAAGCAGTGACGGCTCGCATATTTTATACTTTCCCAAATATTGGTTGTTCTCAGCCAGTAAACCAATAAGAAAACATTTTTGAAATTAAATTGTTTAGATATCATTTGTGAGCTCTCAAAATTTCAAAGATATCTTAAAATAATAATTGTTAGACCATATAGAAGTGCTTATATTCTGAACTTTGACTGTTGTAAGCATGCGCACACATGAAGCTGCATGCACGACTACAGAGAAGAAAGAAGAGATAATACTGTCGCTCCCTTTTGGGGTAGACATGCAGGGAACCGACCAGATGTCAGGGCGGGTACGATATCTAGTATTAGTACCTAGCTACTTGAGATGCCGGAACAGATATGTAGTATCGAATCCTAAAATCCGAGGTGATCTCCGCAGGCAGACCACATGACATGAACTCCTAAGAACTCCTAACTAAGAATCGATCCCACTTGTCATGAGTAGAGATTCCCAAAAGTCGCCTTGCCGGTTACACTGAAAAAGGGGCCGGAGTAGTCCGGCTGACGTGAGGATCATAGAAGGGGCGATCCGATAGTCGAGATAACTTACTGTTGTCAGAGTGTAAATAATACAACTGGAGTAGTGAAGACTGGTACTACGGGAGGTCCAGGTGTCCCCGTGGGAAATCTTTCTGTCTGCTCGGCCGTCTGAGGTGGAACTAAAAGCCTGCTGATCCTGGAATAAGCTGGATTGATCGCGCCTGTCCTCAGCAACTTCTCTAAAGGAGATTCGACGATTGGCCAGTACTATTTTCTTCGATTCATCAATGTTTTCGTCTGTTCTTGACGTGCTTGGGCGTCCGACACGCTCTTCATCGTTCATATCTTCTCGACCCTCTGAGCACATTTTATACCATCGATAAACGTTGCTTCGATCCAAGATAGCTTCACCATATGTCACAGTCAACATTCGGAATGCGTCAGCGCACTTAATTTTACTTTTCAAAAATTTGATACAGATTCTTTGATCAATTTTTTGGAATAGGCAAAAACAATCGAAGATGAGCCAAAACACATGCAAGCAAAGCAGCTGTCAAAACTGAACTAAACATTCAACATGGCCGAACTGTGGAGGAATACGTCAAATATCCGACCTGTGGTGGAGGCTGGTAGTACGGGAGGTCCGGGTGTCCCTGTGGGAAATCTTTCTGCGTGCTCGTCTGTCTGATGTGGAACTCGTGAAAGCCTGCTGATACTGGAAGAGGCTGGATTGATCGCGACTATACCAAAGGATTTTAGGTGTTTTGCTCACCTCCTAAAAACAAAAATCTGCTTGTCTTCATGCGCTGATCGAGTGTATTTCAATCCCTCAGCCATGGGGACATTGATGGGTAAACCGCAAGGTAGGAAACACCGCATTAACCAAAATAACCCCCCCCCCCAGGTATGTCGATACCGCTTCCGCAGTACCCGCTGTAGCGTATGCTTTTTTTTAGCATAATTTTAAACTAGTTTTATCGTTAGCTACACGAGCCGTCACTGTTGACGAGTACATTAAAGTTGTTGAAAAAGAAAAAACTTTAAATCCTATTGGAAATTTTAAAGGTACTAAAGAAAGTCGTTTCTTTTGTAATTAGCTCTGACATCCACGTACCTCATTGATTACTTCGTCTACTCTATTTTTTCTCTGTTCCTTAGGTATGTGATTGTCCATTCGTACGAGAGCCTATGTAATAAAAAATTAATGTAGCATGTATTGTTACTGATACAATCAAAACCACTAAAAAGGATTCTCTTTGTAACAAAAGGAATATTATCTCTTTCCTTTTGTAATGTCTGTTTTAATTAACTAAAAAATTCGCTTTAAAGCATTAGTGATCGGTGAATAAAAACACTTTCATTAGAAATTAGAGCAAATATGTTTTCTCACGATACATAATCATTTATTTTTAAAACTGAATTTTGTAATTAGCGAGTATAATATTCAGAGATCGGGACTATTGTGGTAAATGTTTTATATCTGATAGTTGCACGTACTGTTATAGGAGATTGTTCATTGCGTAATATAACGGCACGAAATCTTTAAATTCCAAACAACATTGTCGGGATATCAATTTCTTGCAGGCCTCGAAGTAACACTTACTTGAAATATCAGATGTTCCTTAACCGTAAGACACCCAATAAAAAGGTCATCCTGTTGTACATATGCAGACTGACTAGTTAATATGGACGAATTTACTGGTACACCATTGAGACATCTCAATCCTGATGCGGAAAGTTGTGAAGACGTTCGGAATGTGAGTGCGTTTAGTAATGTACTCTTTCCAGACCCACTAGCACCCATTATTGCCAATATTTCACCAGGATATGCTACTCCATTAACTAATTTTAAAGATTCGTTGGTATTTTAATACGAAATTTGATGCAGAAAATTTTTTAAATTTGATTAAGAAGAAATTCTAGCGATGAGCAAGATTGATTTTGACCTAGCAATTTTCTTAAATATGTAAGCAAGACCATTCTACAAAACTTGATAAGAAACATGACAAAAATATCAGAATCTTGTTAATAAACATTATTATCCACTAATAAAAGTACCTAATCATATTTTTACTAGTATGTTTACTAAGCAGGTAAGGTAAAATGTTCATCAAACATACAAATTACACATTTTCGTCAGCATTTCTTCTTTTTTTCTCGACTGAGCGGAAATGCTTCTCTGAAAGCTGACCTAAACTTGCTAAACTCTCAAAATCTTTTGAACAAAATGTAGCAACCCTCGAAAACTTTAAACTGCATTTATTGGACTGTTTATATGAAAAAAATGGCTAAAAGTATTTCTATGAATTTTCCTATACGACGTTGAATTTTTCAAAAGAGGATGCCATTCCTTGATTATTGCGCGTAATACGAGGTCTGTTCAACAAGTATCGCGAATTTTGTGTTTTTTCGAAAATTATTTATTCATGAATATCTAATTTGCCCCCTTCAAAGAAATCCCAATCCAGATATTATAGACTTATGCCAAAGTATTTTCCAATCCTCAAAACAATTCAAAAAAACACTTTTTGTGATCGTTTTTAACTCCTCCTTCGATGTCGTTTTTATCTCCTCAATCATAGCGTAGCGTCGTTCTTTCAGTTTCGGAAACAAGAAAAAGTCACAGGGGGCCAGATCAGGGGAATACGGTGGCTGCGGCATTATTAGTGTTTTGTTTTTGGCCAAAAATTCTTGCACAAGCAACGGTGTGTGAGCAGGGGTGTTATCATGGTGTAAAGCCAATTGTTGTTCTTCCACAAATCCGGGAGTTTCTGGCAGATTGCTTCGTGCAAATTACTCATAATTTGCAGATAATATTCCTTATTAACTGTTCTACCAAGTGGTAAGAACTCATGATGCACCACGCCCCTGCAATCGAAGAAAACTGTAAACTCGTGCGGCAGCTCCCATTGGGATGATTGAGCTTTGCTTTCCACGCCATAACTATAAACTAATTATTCGTCACCAGTTATAACCCTCTGGAGCAAATTTGGGTCGTCGCGGACAGCTCCTTAGCAATGTTAATGCGATGTTGTTCTTAGTCGAAATTGAGCAATATTGATACGAATTTCGTGGCGACCGGTCTCATGCCCAAATCATTGGTAAAAATCGAATGGCAGAAGTCCATCAATATGTTTAGGTCCTCAGCAACTTCTCTAACGGTGATTCGACGACTGGACATTTTAATTTTTACTTCACTTCATTAATGTTTTCGTCTGTTGTTGACGTGCTTGGTCGTCCGGCACACTCTTCGTCGTTCACATCTTCTCGGCCCTATGAGCATATTTTGCACCACCAATAAACGTTGCTTCGGTCCAAGGTAGCTTCACCATATGTCATAGTCAACATTCGGAACGCGTCCGCGCACTTAATTTTGTTTTTCACACAAAATTTGATATAAATTCTTTGAGATGAGAGACATTAGTACCAACATAACGCCACAAAAAAATAAAAAATCGAATATACGTACACCGCAGAAATTCAAAATTAGCGATACTTTTGGAACAAACCTCGTAGAGTATCGATATGTTCGGTTCTCAGCTTGCCACCAGTATGTATGATCTTGATGTTATTAAAAATTGAATAAAATTTCAAAATCAGTTGATGTAGAATGTTAAATGTAATATGAAATTAACAAAAAGAATAGATTGATATGGATACTATCAGATTTACTGACTTAAGTTTAATTTACTAATTATGCGTATTTGCAGTTATGTAGAAAATAAAATATTTATTTTCGAATTCTCGTTACTTTAAGTTAAGTGTAAAAATCTCGCTTAATTATTTATCATTATGTTACATATTCAATGAAATTCAAAATGCTTTTGTGAATATGCGCAAAAGTATGCAAAACATTACTTAAAATATTATAATGCATACTATATAACTTAAACTTTGAATTGGCAAATAATATAGTCTGTTCTCTTTCGAGATAAACCAAAACAGAACAATTTTTGACACATGATCTTCCACTGGAAGGTGGACAGCGTGGTACATTCGGAGGTGGTGGTTCGGTTTGTGTTCACGCCTAACGAAATTTTCTAGGGTTGCATTCCGTTCTTTGTTCAATTGTGGCATTTTGTCTATTTATTAACTTGATTTCGTAACTCTTACTTTTATTTAACTGCTAGATCTGACCGATATCTAACTGAAACCCGAAATAGTGCTGATGTTTTTAGCTAAACTTTATTATGCTAAAAGTTTGTAAACGCATCCAGTAGTACTAATAATATTTGATTGTTATTCATAAAATTGTTTTGGTGCTACTTGTTTGCTTAGACCAAAATTATTTCCAATTTGATAACAAATTTTATACTTGTAATGAAGATTTAACGATGGATGATCAACCTTTTTGTAAATGACACGTATGAGTTATCATTATTAGAAATCTTAAAATAAATAAATTTAGAAATAACAATTATGCTTATAAGTAGTTGCCCAATATTAGGCTTCTCCCTGTTCCTGAAAATTCAAGTTAGTTTTTACAGTACATCTTTACTCCTATTCATTGTTTCAGTTTTCGGCAATCACATACACTGTGCGTAATTGTATTTAATCGTAAGTTGAAAATGGACAGCCTATAGATTGTTTTAAAGCCCTAATAGGACAAGTTTGCCCATAAAATTAAATTTCTGATATGCACCGTTTTTCAAAATATGATGTTTCCTTAAATCTTCTCTGTTCTCTTGGGTGCGACGAAATGATAGCAACCTTGATGATGTTGTTCTTTCGGAAAATACATTTAGCTCACTCCATGTGTAAGTTATTCGGTTTGAATGAGACGACCTTTTAGACGTCTCGATGGACAATTCATCGGAATCCCGGGATCCCAAGTTCTTAAAACGAACCAACACGTTATCACCATTATTACCCTGAAAAAATAAATCAAATTAATTGTTTAAATCGGAAAAAATTTAATAATTCATCGCTATAATTCTGCTGGCGAAATATTTAAATTTCTGATTCGTTGGCAGTGTCGTAGATGATGCTCTGACGTATATGGAGCTTCACCATATATTTGAGACACATTTGTACGTTTTAAAGAAGGAAATTCTATTGTCTATTTAGTAGGCGAAGAAAATGCAAAAAACTTAACTAAGATAATTATTGATTCATCCAGTTATAGTGGAAAGGATGAGTGCTGTAGGAGCATTGTATATATACTAATTTGGTTTAAAAGAAAAGTTTACTTTATCCAGGAGTTGGATACCTAAAAGCTTTCTCTGAAAATATATACTTGTAAATGTAAATCTGAAATAAATATTTTAGTTGTTAATAATACACAAATCAATTTTATAAACAGAACACTCCGATCTTCATCAAAAAGTAGCATAGACTTCGTATTCCTCAATTAAGTGAGAGTGACAATTTCGGCTTTAAACACAACCCATAAACAAGGATATACCTTATGTTACAATAAAAGCAGCATTGGCATGACAATTACTCAGCGTCATATCAACTATTAAGTATTTCATTAAGTATTTTTGGTACGCATTTACGACATTCAAGAAGCCGAAATTCTTTACAAATTTGTCATTCCAAAGATAGTCATTCACTTCTCCTTTGTCTTCATTTCATCCGTCTCTGATTTCTCACCCCAACCGCCACCCACCCATTTCCGCGTTGCCTAAATGGAGGCTGAAGAGGGTTTTCCGCCCTAGCCTCCGGTATTACTAGCTGCTAAAAATGAAACACCCAAATTTTTTTTTGAGGTTTGGAATCAATTCAAGGGCTGTATGATCACCTTACACCCCATTTCTACAAAATTTACTTGACTCTTTCTGTATTCAGTTTAGATTTAAAAACTTGCAACAACAAATTAGGTACTGTTTTATGAATGAGATGTAGCAAGCACGGAAGATTAAAAAATTGATCACCAATTTTCTCGGGAACACTCCAGAATTTCATTCTCTATGCAATATCTATTGGAAGTCATAGAGTGCCAGGTTTATATCACACGAGTGAAAATGCATAATTTGATGAAAGTATGAAATGTATTTTTTCTTCCACGACTATCTCAAAATAGCTCTTGCTTCTCCGAAAACTATCCTAAACTAACCGACTCCTCAAAATCTTTTGAACAAAACATAACATAACCCAAAAGTTTTCAATTGCATTTAATGTACTTACAGTACTAATATTATATATTTATAGGAAAAGGTAGCTAAAAGGATTTTTCAGAAATTGATTCATCATTTCATCCGTCTCATCTTTCTCACCCCAGCTGCCACCCACCCATTCATACTATTCCTAAATGAAGGTTAAATAGAATCTTCTTCCCTAACCTTCGGCGTAGGCTAACCTACAGATTTAAAACTGACTTGAGTTTTCAAAACGTACAAAAAGTGCCTATATGTTCGATTCTCAAGCCGTCATTAGTATGTAAATAAACTTAATTGCAATGTTTTATATTAATGTCTTGACTTAAATTTCTAATCAAACGGATTTTCAGAAAGAAAAGTTTTTTAGCACTTTCCCTATTCCATTTTTTTGAACGAATGAAAGCATTTATTATTGCCGTATACAGATCTCTTTCTAAAAACACAAAACTTAACCATTAAAAAACTTTTTCTTCATAAAATATCAAAGTTAGTTTAATTCTCATTTACGATAACTTTCGTTAATTTACTCAAACGAAATGCCTTTTTTATTAAATTATTAAGTAGGTAAGTATATGTTCTTCTTTTTGGATTTTCTTTTACCCTTATAATTATGCTTCAGATTCGTACTTTGTATTTTAATTTAATACAGGATGCTAAACATTTCGTTTAAAGAAATATTTGCATTTTCTAAAGCGTTTCAACTCATAAAGCAGCAGTGGCTTTATGACATCAAAAGGAGTTTGTCGTTAGTTTTCATTAAATGTTTTTATTTTGTTTCCTTCCTTCTTTCTAAAGACTTGCGCTGGTAAAGACATACCATTTTCATCGTATAATCGTGTTTAGGAAACTGCAACGTAATTGCAAGACGTTCAAATCATTATTGAATATATACAAATGTACGTATTTTCAATTTAATCTTCAACCCGACTGATTATGGGCTTATCATTCCGTAATTGTGCAGCGCTCCTGTATCGGAACTCGGGAATGTTCGGAAAGGGTACAGAATTATTCCTTTTACCAGAAATTATCGTATCATTTACATTATCTGCGGCTTGGAGCTAAAAGGGCCAAAGCCAATATTTTGCTGTTTTCATATGAGTAAATCATTGCAATGGATTCATTTTCTTGTTCTCTTTCATATTCTTAAACGTCTATTGTTTAATTCAAGTAATAGTCAATCCATAAATGAAAATAGTAGCCAATTTTGAAATCGTTCACATCAGTTTAAGCTCATGGATCAATGTTTAGAAAAGTTTTGAATTTTTTAAAAAATTGAAAACAATATTCTGTTCAAGCATAGTGTTATTATTTAGGGATGGGTCGGGTACCCGGGTTGGATCCAGTATCCGGCAGATCCGGTACTTTTTCTAGTATCCAATCGAGTACCGCATAATGACGCTGGTGCCGAGTAATTTTACCAGAGAAAGAATAGAAAATATATACCAGCCCTGTACAGGTGTTCTCTACTTACTTGGACCCCATTGACTGTTTGCTGTGGTAATTTCAGGGATTTAATTTGTAATTTATAATAATTTAATATGTATAACAAAAAACCTACCTAGTGAAAATTGATAATTAATATTGTATTGCGATATATGTCGTTTGTCCTAATTTGTATTATTTATTGATTACTATACTAAATTATTTCTTATTTCAGTATGGTTGTTGTATTTACCTACTTTTTTAATACAATACATTAATAAGTCCGAATTGGTAAAATTTCTGTCGCTTGTTGGTATATTAAGTTTTGTTGACGATAATTGCGATAACGATTTTACCACCTTGCAGGCTATTAGTTTCAGCTCAATCCTCTCGTTGAAATCCGCCAGCCAAAAATTAAAATTTCATTGGCTTAGTGTATAAAAGACCTTTCTAACGGGACTTAGTCAAGGTTATTAAATAAAGCTTGAACTCCATTTAAACTATAACTAAAGCATTTATGACAACAATTTCAACTACAATTTTCTCAAATGTGAATATTTTGACTTTGGTCGTATGTTCCAATTCTCATTTAAACTCATCGCTTAGGTGTACAAGGGTACTGGATACTACCGACCATCATGGTCTAGAGGTTGAGACCATTGCTTAGCATTCGGGAGGACGCCGGTTCGATTCCGAGTCCGCCTGCCTTGGTCGAAGTTTTCCTGTGGCTTCTTTTGATCACTTAGGCAAATACTGGGGCAGTAATATTCTACAGATAATCTTTAATTTTCTTTTGTCTTCATTTCGTTCGTAGCATCTTTATCACTCAAACCACCACCCATCCATTCCCACGATTCCTGAAAAGGGCCTTCCGCCCTATCTTCGCGTAGTTCAGAGGGACTGCTCGCCCATCAGCATTTCTAGATGATGGGAATGAAACACCCAAAAGTTCTTTTTTTTACTGGATACTGGGTACTATCCGGCAAGCCTGTCATAGCCGGTGTCCCACAAGACTCCAAATTATCTCCCATGCTTTTTAACCTGTTTCGCGCGGACATAACCTCCGACACTTCAATTCTGACTGTTCTTTACGCTGACGACATTGTCCTCATAAACTCTTCCCAAACTATTTTACAAAGCACAGTGAGAATTAATAAGCTTCTGCCCTTGCTTCTAAACTGGTATCGGAAATATAAACTTTCCATTAACGAGACCAAATCTTCTCACGTAGGTCCCGAAAACCTCTCTCCATCATTGTAAACAACCGCCCCATCAAATAGAGCAACTCCGTTACTAACCTAGGCGTCGTCTTCGACAGAGCCCTAAACTGGCACCACATCACCGCTACCCGAAACAAGGTTTCATTCATCGCACTTAAACCTTTCTACCGAGATAACTCCATGTCCCAACAGGTGAAAATCCGTGCGTTTAACGTAATCATCAGGAGTAAAGAAACTGGTCTACCTTCTCTCCTCAAGGCTGCAACCAAATTCGCAGCAAATCTCAGGGCTTCAGTATCAGGTCACCCAGACGCGTCTATCTCAACACTTTCTTAAACCAAACAACCGTTTTAGAAGGCCCTGCCGCTTCCTCTTCTGAGCTGCTCACTTTTACTCAATTCTAGTTTCACTTTTGAGCGCGAGTACCCACCCTACTCTTTGTGGTGGAACACCAATTTGCACCCACACATTTCCCATCCCCAAAAACACTCCCTACTCTTACCTCTCCGTCTTCCCAAACTACACAAGAAATCTTTCTTTGGGAGTCACAGCCTTCCGACACTACCCCCGTTCAGGCGGTGTCTTTTGAAGATTACCCTCCTCGAGGAAAAACTAAAAATAAAAAAGAACTATCCGAGAATGCCATATGAGAAGCTCCTTTCGGCAGGCAAACAGAACTGTTGGTAATTTTTCGGTATTTTTTGTGAGTATCGTTATCCTTCTTAAACGATTATGATCCAGGCGATTTTCGACCATAGAGACAAAAACAATTACAATCTTCAACAAGATTTTCGGTTATATAATTTTTCATTGATAGGAAACTATATCTGGAAAGAGTGACCATTGCAAAGTAAGGCCCATATTTTCTGTTAATATTTAAGGTGGTTTATACTTCCCTGATTGTACTAAATTTTATAGAAGATACTTCTTTTAGGAAGTTTAAAAATGTAAAATTATTATTCCAAAGGAATCAAACGTGATCCATTTAGTAAATAAAAAAAATGAGAGGATAAGTGCAGAATACGAAATGTCCTTACGAATAAATTGGAGAACAGGTAAAATCGTGTAATTATGAGAATGCAATATTAATAATTTGTTAAATACTTTTCAAATGATTATGTTGAATAGCAATGTTAAAAGAACAGAAAAATAAATGTGTATAAAATATATTTAGAGTTAAAATAAAATAATGTTATGTGGTTAATTTAAGTCTTTTTATGTTATATGTTATTTTCATTCACTATTAAGTTGGTTTGGTCTATTAATATACAAGAGGCCTCTGAGAATAACTTTTAAAATAATTCTCTTCAGTGTGACAGGAAGAAAATATTTGGATTGTGACCAGTCTCAACATATGTTTTAATAAAGAAGTTATTAGTGTCGCTTAAATGACATATTTTCTATGTTCTTTGTTATGTTCTCTCAGTCTAATAGATACTGGTCTTTTTGTTTGGCCAATATAAATCATAGGACAATTTTATATATAAAGCTAAATTTTTCGCACATGTTTGTTTTAGTGGTAACTTATTTAGAAATTAAAGTAATCTATGCAGATAATATTATCATTGTAGTTATTATACAAAATTATACAAAATAAAACTATTTTTCATTTTTTCAGGTACCTATATATATATTTTGTAATACTTAACACTTGTGGTTTTGCTTCGTTTTTTTTTTATTGAATTCATATTGTATAGTAAATGGTATTTGGATATACACAATAAGATCGGATTTGATTATAACAAATAACAGGAGTGTATTTTTTAACTAATGTTTTCGATACAGTTGACAGTTGCCGTTGACAGAAGGTCGTGTGCTTCGGCCACAACTTCCGTCACCGTTTACACTTCCGTTCCGTTCTGCGCGCGCAACGCAAAAGTTTTATACTCAACGCGTCGAAAGATCTATAACTCCAAAAAGAAAACAGTCTGTAGTACAGTGGATTTCATTTATTACGACTCTGGTTATAGCGACCATTGCGCTATAGCGACGTCATATGTAAGTCCCTTGAATTTAAAGCATACTTCAGTATAAAATTCATGTGGCTATAGCGGCTTCGGATGTAACGCCAAATTCGGGTATAGCGACTGTTTTTAATGAATCATTTGTAACAAATCCCTAGTAATCCCATGCAGATATAGCGACCGGAGTCGGCCCCTAAAGACACAAAGAGCTTTCTTATCTTTTGTTTACATTCACACAAATAGTCAACAAGTGTGGTGACCTTTACCGTTGTTTCTGAGTAGCAACTGTGTTTGGTAAACTTCTGAATAACAGATGTACAATTACCGTTAAAAAAAGACGAAAATTGTTTCAAAACAGAAAAACAGTGTGTGTCTGTATCTTCTTTAACTTTGCCTGTAACGACTTCTGGATATAACGACTGTACTTTATTTTATAAATTCAAATCCATTTAATCTTTTTTTTCGCACTAAATAATTTGATAATATATACCTACCTTCAAACGAAAGGTTGTCGAGCTCAATGTGAATTAAGTAAATAAGCTTACTATTTTCTAACTGACATACAACAGACTAGGACCCAGTTTAATTTGATTAGGAATTGTTTCTCATCTCCTTTCATTTGCGAAACTCCACCGGAACTTTTTCAAGTGGCGGACGTTTTGCTAGCAAATACGCTGATTAAATCGTGTACCGCAAAGTTCTAAACTACATAGATATACATCGGTCCTAGTTACTCCGTTAGTGCCTTTCAAGATAAAGAACTTTATCTAATTTAAATAAGATATTCTGGAGTGGTATATCTTATGAATAAAAGGTTCCTTGAAAATATTTACATATACATTTTACTGAACTTTTTAACCTTAATTGTTAAAATCATTATATTTGCCTATCTAATTTAATTTNGCTAAACTTCGCATTTCCCTAAAACTAGAACAGCCCACATCCTTAACTATTTGCGAACAGTAATCTAATCTAGGTCTACCTCTACCCCTTTTAACTCCTGTTTCTGCCTCTAATATGTCTGTGACTAGACCTTCATGTCTGAGAAGGCGTCCTACCAACCTATCTCCCCTATTTTTTATTGACTTCCATAGAGTCCTCTGTTCTACTATTCTTTCTAATACCTCTTCATTTCTAACCTTTTCTATCCACGTTATCCTCATCATTCGCCTATAACACCACATCTCGAACGCTTCTAACCTTTTCTTTTCCGCCGCGTCCACTGTCCATGTTTCATACGACAAGAATAATTTACGCGTATGTTCCTAGATTTTTAAAAAGTTTTGTTATGGGGGTGTAGAGGGATCCATTTTTGGATTCTAAGATCAAAATAAGAGCAAGTTTCGTTATAGTTTGAAGTACTTTGAATTTTGTGAAAATGTAGTTGCAATTTGAACTTCTAAAGGTTTGGACCACACGTTGGCACGTTGTATTAGAGTTTCATAGAAAATTGTAACGACGTCCCATATTATTTTATTCTAAGGTAAGTGTACTTCTAAAGATAATTTATTAATACTTTTTTACTGAGATATTGTTATTTGCCGTATTACAGAATGAAAATGGCTGTCGAAAAGCTTCTTCATCTGTAGATCCATTTTTCCAGGCACTATAAACTTAAATTTGTCTTTTCTTTGAATTTTTACTTCTATATTTTTCTTCTTCTTCTAAAGCCAACAATATTACAGCTAAATTTGTCTTTGTGAAATTCGAAAACATATTCGGACTTTTGGGCATACCAAAGCACATGTCATAAGAGTTATGAGTCGCCCGTATCTCATTACAGTATGCCCAAACCTTAAATTGTCAACATGTATTGCCGCTTTTAAAACCAAATTTAAACTGAAATCTGCTCACTGATTAAGTTTTGTATAGCAATTGTGAAAAACTAACTTACATACACAGGGTGTTCAAAAAGTATGATTAAATAAGTGCAAATTTTAAATGACAATAACTTGCTTACTATAAATAAAACACCCTGTATTTTATGTCAACGGCGGTTTTAGAATTTAATCCTCTATCGAATAGTATTATACAAGTCAGCTATGACGTATGTGTCAGATCAGAATTATATAAAAAACAGCTGGTATAAAGCAAAAACATTCGATTGATAGCACTTAAGATTTATGAAGTAGTTTAATAAAGGATAATAAAATATGTGGAATTGCAACAAATAATATTGCTTTATAGCAACTGTTCAAAGTAATGACCTTTTAATTCCAAGCATAAACCTAACCTCTTTTCTAAGTTTTCAGCATCATTGACCAACATTTGTGGATCATGGAGATGTGTTATAAACAATGTATGTTACGTATCCCCACAAAAAATTTTAACATTGGCCTCCACAATCTCCCTTATTTTATTTTATATGAATCCACTTCCATATCCAACCACGCTAGGAAATATGACGCAGGTCATTGCAGAAGGTTTAAAAATGGTCCCATATCCACAAATGTTGGTCAATGTTGCTGAAGGCTTAGAAAATTATCTTTTATCTTTAGAATCACGCGGTCGCCATTTTGAACGCTTGTTAGAAGGCAGTATTATTAGCTGTATTTCCACTACACCTTTATTTTGCTTCTTTAAACTATATATGAAGATTGGAAAAACATTGACGGTTGTTGTAAAACAAACAAAATAGCTCAAAACCCCAACTACCCTATAAATCTTGACTGCTATTAATTAACTGTTTTTGGTTTAAACAAGCTGTTTCTTATGTAATTCTAACCTACCAAAATGTTATAGCTGACTTGATAAATATCTATTAAATTTGTTAAAATCGCTTTCCGTTCTGAAAATGTTCGTTTTTCATGAAAACGTTAACAGTTACCTATACAATTGTATTCGATAGAAACTAGATGCCGTAACTGCTGTTGACATAAAATTCAGGATGTTCTATTTAAATTAAACAAGTATTTAACACCCTGTGTTTGTTAATCTTAATCAATGAGCAGGATTTAAATTGAGTTTAAAAGCGGCAATATATATTGAGAATTTAAAAGTTAAAATTGCTACTACATTTTCACCAAATTCAAAATACTTTTAAGTAAGGTAAACTTTCATGAAACTCGTTCTTATTTTGAACCCAAAATGTAAAAATATATAAGATGTTCCGTTTAAAGAAATGCAACTTTATATACGTTTTGTGTTTTTCGAATACCCTGTATATTACGAAAACAATTTTAAAGTGAACCACTTATGGATCCCTATCCACTCCCGCAACAAAACTTTTTAAAAATCTAGGAAGAAACTTCAGGACCTTCTAACAACCGATTATTATAAAAGTAAAAGGATAATATTTTTTTATGTACTTTATTTTTTAATTTTCCCTCTTTTTGTTTAAAAAAAAAGTATTTAAATCAAGTACCTACATAAATATCCAATCTCAGTCAAAATAGCGAATTAGTATTTAATTGCACTTACTTCAATGCTGGAGTAGCTTCCTATTCTCTCTTGCAGATTAATTAATGGTAATTTTTCGTTTGCCTCCATTTATTTTTTAATAAAATAGCACTTTCCGAATGTTACGTGAATCAATTAAAACGGTTGTGCCTAACTAAGAAAACAATCGCAACAAGGCATTGTTAATGGTGTGGTATACACCAGTACACATACATACACGACACTTATAAGTCTAATTATCTAATTCAAACACATCGTTCTTGTATAATCGTCTCAATGTTTACCACTGTCTCTTGTTTTGTAATAGTGATAACAATTGTAATTATAATAGTAGATGATGGCTTTACGAGAACGCATCACGTTAACAATATTGTACAAGGGAAACACACACACAATGGAACGTCAGGTTACATGGTTGTTTCGGCCTTATGGTCGAGCACCCGTGGGACCCCGTACCGTTGTAGGAGCTTTACGCGAAGATTACATTTCCCAAAGCTTGTCGTACTTGTAGCGCATTATGTTCGCACCAAAGGTTTGCGTAATATGATGAATATAATGTTACAAACGATACCAGTTAGTTTCGTTCCTTCAGACACGCAATTTTTTATCCTTAAGTCCTTCCACATCACCAATAGAAAAATTAAATTAAATAAAAGAATAAGTAAGCAAAACATATTTCCCTGAACCTCTCTATATAAATAAAATCTAAAACAGTATTCAAATTTTTAGCCAGTAGAGAAAGGCAACCTTACGACTTTTTAGTTATGACTAAAAAAAATTAATTATGTTTTATACCGTTTAGTGCAAAAGTTTTCTTAAATTTGATAATTTAATATTTAAATTTTTTAAATTTTTTGTGATTATTTTTAGTACGTATGTGTATCACAGTCTTGTGCAAAAAGTGGGCAAAAAATCAATCACAATATTTGGTCGTTATACATATAGGGCTTGATAAAATCAGAGATGTGGTCACTTTCATTATTTTAAATTTTTGTTGTGTTTATAAGCTCCAAAAGTATTTCGATAAATAATATAAAATTACGGTTTGTAGTTCTCTAATCATAATATATCCCTATTGAACACTATTACAGTAATGCATGCACCTCATTTTAGCTAAAACCACGCAGTTAATCCGTATAAATTTAGTATCATTATACGTCACCCAGGTATATATTTTTTTATTGAATTAGAATTCAAACGGTTAATTATTGAATTATCTTTTGTTAAACGTATGTAATATTATTGGATTTTTTCATTATGCTGCCATCTACTAGTACTACTACGTACCATACATGTAATATCAGTTAACACGAAGAAAATCTCTGTGCTCACTGATAGTACATACTATGTGGTTGTAGGTCAAAATTAATGCAGCCAGATGGCGGGATGAATAATATAAGTAAGGCACAATTAAACCAGAGTTGTAAGTTTAAAGAAAAATTTCACCATATGCCTTCTATACAGTTTATTCAAATGGATATACGCTATACGTATTTGATAAAATAATGTAAATCAATGGTATCTACATTCTGTATTTAACTAATACAAATAACTAATTTTTTTAAACCTACTTACTCTGTATAAAGTTTGAATAAGTTCATTTTACTTTTTAATTGTCTCCATCGGTCAGAATGACTTTTTTGAAAATGTATTTTTCATTACTGAGTATCTTGTCGCATTTTTGTTAAGGAACATTTAAAAATTAAGTGTTCAAATGCTAGTGTTTAAATTTTCAACTCTACTCTTTTATCCGTTATAATATTATGTATTCTATTTATTAGAGTATAAAGCATCTGCAACTAATTTACATTAATTAACACTCGTTTGCAAATTCGTAAGCGGCTTCATTTAACATAATCTAACAACTATTTAACCGCGGAACTGGAAAGCATGTCAATTTAATGATGTATTAAAAATTAAAAACGAGCAATCAATCATGACAACGCTGATCCGCTGAAAAAATAAGGAGAACTAAATGAGTCTGTAAACACTCATTTAGTTCTCCTTATCAGCGCTATTGCAACTTTTTAAAGAGTTTTTCGCGAGAAATAGGATGGGCTTTGTTTCTTAACTTTTTGAATTAGTTTTTCGCTGCTGCTATTATGATAGTGGGGTAAAATCAGTATAATAGCTTGCTTTTAATGCAACGTTTTGTTGTGGTTATTAAATTTATAATAAGCACTTAAACAAAAATAATTTAGTTTCTTAGCACTTTTCCTAAGGCATAAAAAGATCTCGTAACGTGGATCTCATTGACGTTTACATTCAGTTTAGCTACGCCATTGCTTTTTATAACGATTCTTGAAGTTCTAAATTATAATTTTTGATTTTAATTACTTCTTTTTAATGTATTTTTTTCTACTTGATAATGTTATAATCGTAATAAACTGTTACGGTTCTGATATAATCACTATAAAATAAAAAGACGTGCAGATTTATCGTTATATTATTAAGTTTTTACTTTACAAAAAANCACTTTAGGGGTCACAGTAATGAAATTAGAAAAAGATTTAGAGGAAATAAGATTTTTATTACCTGCAAAGCGAGCCAGAAGAGGTTGGTTTAATATCTTTGGAAAAGGCTTACACACATTATTTGGTACTTTAGATGAAGACGATGCTGATAAATATAATAAACTCATAACAGAACTACAAAATTCAAACAAAAATACATTGAAAATCTTAAAAGAACAAACACATCTATCACAGGTATTGTTATCAAGTTTCAATGAAACATTGATTAAGGTAAATGGCAACGAAAAAACACTTCAGCAAAATTTGTTAGCTATCGATCAGTCATTAAAAAATGATACAAATAGAATTAATGAAAATCATCTAGCACTTCATATGATAAACACAGTGACTGTTCTTCTTGAAATCGCTAATTTAGTCCAAAAGGAAGTTTCTAATATTTTAGAGTCATTATCTTATGCAAGAGCAGGTATGTTACACCCATCAATCCTAAATCATGAACAATTAAAAACTGAATTAAACAAAATTGATGTTACCGAGTCCGTACTGCCATTTCCAGTAGATGATAGTGAAATTTATAAATATTATTTGATAATCAAGCCCAAAATTTATTTACTAAATCAAGGCTTATTGATTAAATTAGAAATTCCTCTTTGTAAATCTTTACAGTTCAAGTTGTACCAACTTTTCCCTTATCCGGTACCTACTCAAAACTCCTTATTTCACATCCTTTTGCCACCAACGCCATATCTTGCTTTATCTACTGACCACCAATGGTTCATCGACATTCTGTCCGTAAATGATTTGCTACAAATTGAGAATATCTGGATATCAGAAGAAGTTGAACCACAGGAACTGTTTCACAACAAAGCCTGCATTCCTCAATTATTAACATCAAAATCGTTTCCTGATACATGTGAAATCTACACCACTCTTGCAAGTGAGGAACTGATTCAAAAAATTGATCAAAACATTTGGCTAGCAGCTTCCACAAGTACACTCGACTTCACTTATAAATGTGAAAATTTACCGATAAACAAAGTCGAAATTATACGACCGACCCTCATTACAATCCACCAAAAATGCACCTGTTATTTTTCTAATGGACTCCGTATAACAACCACGGACACCCGAAATAATAACAAGACAATCAATTTAGACACCGAACTCCCAGTTATCCCATCAGACTGCTGCCTCGAAGAAAAATATAAAAACAAGTCACCAAATCTTCAACCCCTCAATCTAAACTACTTAAATCAAGAGAGTTTAAACCTGGCCGCAGCAAAACTCATGGACATTAAGAACAAAATCGATACCGAAGAAGAAAGAAAATTTTCAAAAATATATGGAAATTATTGGTTAACCACATTGGCTGCAATTACATCAGTATTACTATTGGTTTGTTTGGTTTATTGTTGTTGCCCAGGATGCTTCAAATTCTGTAGACCAAATCCAATTTGTCATCCCGGTCACTGTTTACGAATTGTCAACTACAACACCACAGCGAGAGAAGAACCCGTGGTCCGGTATCAGACGTCAACTTCTAACCCAACAAGCTATATAAGGGAGGTTTCACCCCGAACCTCACCGGTCATTACATCTAGAAGACAGTACAAGACTCCGACACCCTTGGAAAATTAATTGCAAGATTAACTTTCCATCTCAAAGGGGAGGTGTTACATGCTAAATATGACGACTCTTTTCAAGGACACTATTTTCCCATACCTGCAGCTGGTTATTATTTAATTTAGAAATGCTTAGTAGACAAATTATCAATATTATATTCTTTTATGAAAACTCAAATCATTCTAGCTTCAGACTAGGCCTGATAATCATTATCTTGTAATTGTAAAATAAAGTTCTTTTTAAAAACTCTTTTGTTGGAACTTTTATCGTATCATATGTAAATATGATAGATTCAATATAATCATTTAAAGTTTAAAATAATTCCAATAATACGTAATTTAAATTCGTAATAACTAAAACCGACGTTGATAAATAAATATATCCTTATCTACTTTTGTTTTATTTTTTTTTTAAACTTAATTGAAATTGTCATTGGCGACCTTAACGGTGTTTAATAAATACGATAAGAAATAATGGTTCAATTCTTTAACAGACGTTCAATAAAAAAAAAATGATCAGTACGAAACAGTTTCATTCTCTATTCTATGCGTTATATATAAAATTAAATTCAGTTATATTTACAAAACATTGGCACTTTTTAATACACTTCATATTTAAACCATTTAAGCCTTGTTGTTTTTTGCTAAATTATGAGTTGCCCAATTTACAGAAGTCTTCCATGAATTTGATAACGCTTCATCAAACTTCGATTTAAAATGAGCTAATGCCTCCTCATCAGACTTCGAAAGAACCTATTAATACAAAATAAAACACGATTATAACACTTACTATTAAATAAAGACACACCATGAATTAAGTCTTTGTTTGTAAAATGTTGCTTAGGCAAGGATACAATTCAACATATTTTTCTAAAGAAACTTATATTTTTGTTTATATTTGAACAGGTTTTTTTTTTAAAAAATAAAAAGGAATTGTAATAATTATACAAGCTTTATTAATGAAACAATTGTAAATTTTGCATCTACAGCATGGGCTTTACTTTTGTATTTATTTAGTCCACACATATAATATGAAAAGAACACAAAATCAATTGAAAAAAATCTTACCAATGTTTCACGCAAATAATTTAAGTCCTTTTCAGAACTAAGTTCAGGGAGTCCTGTAGAAATCATCATAGCACAAAGTGACATCACAAGAGTTCCATGTTTTCGTAGTATCATAAACGCCTGCAATATTTTAAATAATGAATATATATGTACCCCCGATAAAAAAGAGACGTACTTTTTCGCAATATTCCTGAAACACTTTGAATTCTAATGCATTCCTTTGTCCTTTGCTTATGACTTGGACAAAATCGTGAGTCAAAACGAAAGGCACCCTTTCTCTTTTGAAACCGAACTTTTCTTTGAAGTGACCCAATATGTGACCGAAATCCACATGAAACAGCTAAAAACAGGAAATTTTTGAAATAAAAGGTGTTATTTGTAAAAAACAATATATATCCCAAAATATAAGTATGTCAAACAACATCAAATTACAAATCTTTGTACTTTTGATCAGCTAAATACAAGTTTACTTAGTAAGTATAACAACAGCATAACGACCCATAAGACTTACCTGACCTGAAGTTTTGACCATTATATTATCGGAATGTCTATCAGCAACTCCTAAAACGTACGTGGCCACACAATATCCAGCGCAAGAGAGGGTAAATTCATTAATAGCCTTCTTTAATGCCGCTTCTGACCTATTATGATCTTTTAACCAAGCTGCAAATATATTGAATCTACATTACTACTATACTCTTATATTCTATTCAACGACTTATACCTAAAAGAGATCCTTTTCTAAAGGCAGATGTAGCTGAAAACATGCCCTTTTCCTTCTGAATATTTGCTATTGTTTCAGCATTCAGAACAACCTCTATCATTCCTACTCTATGCTCTAAGGATATACAGTTGTAGGGATTCATCCTATTAAATATACAAATATATTATTTGTTTTGTAAATAAAAAGAAATTTTTATCGAAACTGTTAGCACAGTTCAATAAGCGTACAAAAACAGTAACGAGCATAATTTCAGTTTTTATGTAGAACAATTTACCTCAAATCTAACCCTTCCTGTTTCCATAATTTGTCCATAATTCTTATCATCTGAAGGGTTAACATATCTTGTCTAAGATCATCACCGTTTTTAAATATAAAATATATATCGTCTCCAAAAGTGTCTGAATTTTCGAAAACAACCCACAAAGGTTTCATTTTACTATCCATTACTTTACATTTTTCTATCCTAATAAAAACAAATTAAAGTTGGAATACCTCAAAATAATTTTTCATGGCTAAAAGTTTTCCAAACCTTATTTTGCCACATCGAAAACTTGGATCTAAAGGATTTCTAATGTTATGCAGCGCTTCAATACAATGAGGTTGCTGCAGATCTTCTATAAGAGCTGCTCTGGCCTTGTCTTTGTCTTTACGTGTCCTGACACTTTCGCTGCACTTTTTCAACCTTTCTAAGCATTCCAATTGTTTACCTAATGCCGTTAAATGTTCTTGACTTCCTCTACAGTATGCCTCTAAAATTAGGCCGAAACGAACAGACACAGAAGGCATCTGCATTTCTGATCTGCAAAATATAAATAGTAAATGGTTATTGTGGACCTTATTAAAATTTGATACCACCACCCAAAAACAATTGATAACATATTCGGCATTTTCTCGGCCTTTTTCGTCTAGGTACTATTGTAGATTGCTATTAGTAGAATTTCATATTTCTTTTAGATCACCGGTTATTTTACGGAGACTCTCGTGTTCAAATTTACCTTAAGCATTCAGTTTATTAGAGTACTTTTGATAGAATTCTTTTATTATTATTTTTTTTTACTATTTTTACCGGGAATTCTTTCATTTTAAAAACGAATTTTAGTCTTACTAAATTTGATAAATTCCCGCGATATAGGACTTACGGCCCCTGTGATTTTAAATTATTTATCAAGAATGACATCAGCAACACATTCATTTATTATTTAAATAAAGCCATCAACTGCTTTATTAGGCCAAGTTATACCTAAATAGATATTCCATCATTATTCAATGCTATAAAATCTTACTTAAAGTTTCCAATTATTTTTAAATTGTTTTGGGAATTTTTTTATGAATGTAAAAAGATTTTAAAACTAACAATGTTTCTATAATGGAATACATATTACTGTCGTTAATGAAGAACAAACTGTAAATAACTTGTGAATCACTAAAATGTAAGGTAACTCACCTTAGAAGCCAAAAAAGATAATGACCAATTTTTTGGTTATTTAGAGCCCTTTTAAGTAAAAAATTCACTAAATCACAGTCCAAATACAGTTCATGTTTAAGAGCCTGAACTAATTGCAGCAAATACAAAAGTAAATCTTCATCGCTAAAATTGTTACAATTAACATAAAATACGCTATTGTTCTTTAATAAGAAGTTACCTTAAATTACTAAGACATTTAACAGCAAATCTTCTAACTTCCTGATCAGAATAAGCATAATCCAACAATTCTAAAGCCTTTTCTACAGGTAAATGTGGCCAATCTTTTAAAAGTGCATAAACTTCGCAAAAAACTTTTTTATCATCCCAATCTATGCAGAGCAACAACTTTGGTAAAATATCAGGATGATTTATCATCCAATAGCGCCGCAAACTCCATATCTTTTTTCTATCCTAAAAGAATAAAACACAAGTGATTTTCACATAAATAACTCCAAAGGAAATACGAAGTTTTCTAAATATAATTTACCTGATCATGTGTTTCATACAAAGAGTCATTTTCAAGCACAGTCTTCTGTAAGTATTGTATTTCAACCCTTGAAATATTTAATGTAGCGTCCTCAGAGTCCAAAATGTTTTCATTTGCGTGTTTTCTCAAAATATCCAGAGACGGAAAAGTTATAGTTTGCTCTTGTCCATAACTGAAATAGCATTTTAAAAAGCAACAGGTAAATATATTCATAGTAATAAATAATTAGACAAACTACCTGTCAAAAATAAGCGTAAGTGCTGTAGCATATTTAGTATTAGGGTTGCTAACAACTGTCCCTAAGGGATGAAAAGCATCCTCATTCAGAGTGTCTTCAGCATAAGTCCACATATATAAAGTCATTGCTCCAGTCTTCAATTGATTTTTAAAGTCATAAACAGTAGTATTAGCCCATGCAATTGGGTTCGAAAAAGGTTCCTAAAAAAATAACTTCAATGACCAGAGACGTCAGTTCTAATTCTGCGTTTCAAAATAGTGACTTTCATTGCCCGCTGCGCGCGCACTTCTGTTGTATGCTAAAATTTTTCTCAATGCTCCAAAAGAAGTATAACTTCAAAAATAATAAAATTAATATTTTTTGTATCACATTTAACAGAGCGGTATAAAAGCTTTTTGGGGTATTCTAGTCGAAAATTACCAATAATTCAGTTTCACGGTTTAAAATTTACAATCAAATATCGGAATAAATTGTCGGAAGCATCTTTTAACGGTGTTTTTTTAATGGAAAATGATTTCGTATTACCATAAAACTCTACACTGAGTGTTATTAGGTCCACAAATTCGTCATATTTACTTAACAACGGCCTTCATTAATTTATTAATTCACTATGGGCAATAATTTTAAAAATACATGATAAACATTATTCTATTTATAAAAAGAAACTGACAAATGAAGTTACCAACGGAAAAAAAAAACAGAGAACACTAATTGCAAGGTGTATCAATGAAAGTAGGTGTTATGAATATACCTTGGAGGACTCTTTAATTTTCTTCGTCTTTCCTCCCTTAGCACTTTTCGAGGCTTCATAGACAACGAAACATAATTTTCCATTCTTTGGGATATTGCACACCTGGATATTAAAGGTCAACGTATGATCAAATACGCACTCGCACCTTTCATTAACAGTGTTTTCAGGAGTTCTAATGGGTTCACACAATGATTTACCACCGTGAAATAAGCCCACTTGGATCCCGATCTAAACAGCGGTAAAATTAAAATTGGTCGCTCTAATTAGTTATTAAAAACCAGACATACTTCAACATTACGTTTTGTATCACAGTTAAGACCACTAACAGTACATATGGTTAAACGCAAATTTTCAACGATTTTCCATGACGTCGATTTGCCTTTTTTGTTACGTAAAGTGTTTGTAGAAAAAGAAGGACGATTTTTCTTTTCAAAATTATCCAAAGATACGTTATTAATATCTAACTGAACTAAAAAACAATTAAGAATGCAACATTAAGTATACTTCAAGTATCATTTAAACTTTTTATAAAACTGTAAAATTATCTAATGTGTAACACCTTGCCACCCGATATATGCGTTGAGTCTATGGGAGCAATATAAATATATGTACAACCACCTTAAACTAAATAATAAAGTAATCTTATATACCTGGTACACTATCTATTGGTATTGTAACTAATACTGGAGTTATATCTCTATTCAAAGCATCCTGGATGTATTGAAATTGAATTAAATCATAATCTCCCACAAGAAATTCATCTCGGCCACAAACTTTCAATATATAATCACACGGCTTTTCTCTGATGTTCAAAATATTTCCTTTCTTGTTTAAAATTGTTTCTAACAACTTACTGGGAGTTGTAGTGCCAGGCACACTAAATGTAAAACTGGTCTAAAATACTAAATGGTAAATATTGTTAAATTGGCTGTTTTTCTTCACTTACATCAATATTTTCAAATTTTGATATGAGCACAATGGGCCGATCACAATTTACATTGCCCTGGGCTAATCTAGGAGGAAATTGGTAATGCAGTCTTTCTTGCCAACTCAGTTTGGAACGTTCATAGGCAATTTCATCTCCTAATTTACGCATTTTAAACCGAAAGTCATTTATTTCAGCACTACTCAACGCATCAAACTCCTGTAATCCTATGCAACAAAAGAAAGCATTTGTTTATGTATAAATTAACCATTGTATTAAACTTACTTTTTCCTATAAGGTGACTAATTTGTATATTTAACTGATGTTCAGCTTTATCAGCATGACATTCAGTGAGTTTTAGAGTAGCACCTGTTGGTCTTACATCACACAGTCTTCTATTCTCATCAGTAATTCGCTCCAATTCAGACATACTATTAACATATAGAAAGACATACACAGACATGTCATGTAACATGCCATACAGTGGATATTTGGCTGCCTCTTCCCATAGTTCCTACATAAAGTTAATGCACACTACTTACTAGATATTACAGTAGTGTATGTATCTTACAAGATGCAACTTTTTTAACAGAATTGATCACATAATCTAGCACACAAAAAACAACATTAACTTACTTCTTTAATTTCTGCAAGGGTTGCATTGTGACTGACATCCAATAATATACAAACTCCATTAGGCATTAGGCAAGTTACAACTGTGAAGTCTGTTGGGCCAGTTAGCCAAAAGTCATAGGTGAATTCTTTAGGTATTGGAACCATTGTGATAATTGATAAATATTAAACCGATGAAATACTATGTAACTAGTAACATCTTAATGTGTCTAAAAGTAACAAATAAAAATTGAATTTTTTTATTTTTTCTAACTTACCCTCAACTGCTTGCCCACAATTGGTATTGGGAGCTTATAAAAAATATCTTCAAGATATAATATTTATTAATGCACTATCATTCTACCACTAAATTAAGCCAAATAATAAAACAAACAAATAGGTTTACGTTTCTTTTCGAGAAATTGGACATAAACAAATAGTAATCTGTTTTGAAGTGTAAAAGACTGATAATGGTGGCTAAACAACACCCTTGCTGCTCCGTAAATTGTTTTTCTTTTTCTTGTAATTTACCGTAATTTGAGTGAGAAAGTAAACTTGAAAAAACATTTCACGAAATCCAAAAAGTAATTGTGCTAAATAAGAGAACATTAGAAATAATTCTCTATGCAAACATTGTCGCTTTTGCCATGAAGAGCCACCAAAAAACATGTAAATGAATTAAACGTCAGAGAGTTTCTAACCTAAGAAATATAACCAACAAACTAATCTCTAAGCAAGTTTCAGTCTTATTTTAGTGAATGAAATCATTTTCCATTTTTCTAGTACGAGGAACTTCAAAAAAGGTAAACAGTTGCAATGTTTGTTAATAAGACACCTCGATTCTATAAAGTAGCAGCAGATTATGTTAAAAAAATACAAGAAAATGGAGCAAGTATAAAACAGTTGATATATTCAAAGCAACATCCTGTAAGTAAAATTCAGAACAATGTGGGATCCAAATTTTAATTGTTATCTTTATATTGTTAATTTCAGAATATAATGGGATTATATGCTCTTGTAAACGAAGTTTTTAAACATTTTGAACAAATAAAATTTTTAATAACTCATGCCAAATTAGAAACTATTACAACAAAAAACCCGTGGTTAATTTATGTATTAATTACTGAGTTATTGTGGGGTAAAAAACATTTGCCGGACATAAAATCTACAACATTTGTAACAATTCTATTGCATAAACAAAAACTTGAAAAACTTCTACCATTTGCAGAGAAAAGTGTACCCACCACTGAAAAGACAGGTATTTATTTTAATATTTCTTTAATATTACAGATTGTTATTGGGAGCTGACTTGCAACTTTTATAATGGAATCTAACAACTGTCCAGAACCTTTAATTCCTGAAGAAACCAAAGATGCCATGAAAGTATTGGGATGGTTGCTTTTCTATAGTGTTTTAATGTTTACCTTGCCATTTGGTGCATTTTTTGGAACTAAATACTCTCTTAAAGAAATTTTCAATATTGATGGTTATAGTAATAATGTGTATTCAGTTATTGCAAGTGTAATTACTGTTAATTTAATTATTGCTGCATATGCTTACAAAGCTTATCATGAAGATCAATATGATAGTGATGGAAATGTTATTGAAAAAACTCTTTCAAAGTCAGACCTAAATATAAAACAAGACTAAACATTTTCAAAGTTTATTAGTTTATTTTAGTTTGTTAGTTTATTATAGTTTAAATTTCAAAGATGTTTTTAGCAGCATTAAACAAGGTTTGCATCAAACCACCACTTCATGTAAATATTAAATAATTGTAAATTGTATCTATATGCATACAAAATATATACAGAAAAAAGGAAATGTTTAAGAACTGTATTTCTTTTTCACTTTTTACTAATAAATAAAAATAATGAAGATTTGTTTGTTTTTATAAGTAAATTTAACGTTTTTATTAGAAATTTTCGAAATCAGTCCATTTTATAGTATTTAATACAAATACAGTAATATTGATTATTAAAGAAGTAGCAAAAAGCAACCACACATATACATGAATGGTATCTGTATTCTTAGTTTTGTCTGTTTCCTCGTATTAATTAGAAGTTGTAAAATTTCATTTTTCATTTTAGTTAACACACCTAAATATGTACGAGTTAATACATTAAAAGTGTGCGTTTCTGATGCTATAGCAGCGTTTATCGAAGAAGGGTACAATTACAAAAAATGCAAAAATAACGATTACCAAACGTTTTTATCAGAAGCTTCCTCTCTTCAAGAATATGATTTTATGTCAGACATACACTTTGATGAACTTTTACTTTTTCATCCCAGTTGTAAATTTTTTGATCATAAGGCTTACCAAAGTGGCTTAATTATTTTGCAGGACAAAGTAAGACATTTATCTATATTTATTTGTTACCTGCGAAAATTATTCATAATTTAAGTAATAACTTTTAAGGCCAGTTGTATTCCTGCTTATCTTCTTAATCCACCTCCAGGCAGTGTGGTGTTGGATGCATGTGCTGCTCCCGGTACGAAAACAACCCTACTTGCTTCTCTTATGAAGAACGAAGGAACTCTATATGCTGTTGATAGAAATCAGAGCAGGTTTCAGGAGTTAAAGTTATTTGTTGAAAAATCTGGAGCATCTTGCGTTCGAACTGTCCACAAAGATTTATTGAATCTAAATGGAAGCGATTTTCCAAATGTCCAATACATCCTCGTTGATCCTTCATGTTCTGGATCAGGTATGAACCTTTATACTTTATTTTTATTAATATTCTTGTATTCCGTTAATTCATATAAACTTAGACTTAGATAATTTATTTGGCTCAATTATTGTGAAATGATTAAAATTCATTCGAATGTTTTAAATTAGAGTAACAAAGTAGGATAATCATTGTCTTCTTTTTATAATTGACATTTATCCGAGCGAAAAGCAACATATTATTAATGATGTGTAACGATGTGTAACATCTTACCGATAGGTACCTATGTGCGTATGTGTATATTATGGGTGTAATTTCGGAATGCAACGGAAACGCGTAAGTGGAAGTTAGGGATGGGAAACGCGCATCATTCGACCAATGTTGCCTATATTTGACGCTTGAAGAAGTAGAGATAAAGCGAAAAAAGATGAACTGTCAACTATTCGATTTTGTAATCTTGCTGAATACCACGACACATTGCTGTTTTATTATTTTGCGCGTTACCGATGTTAGATGTTACACACTTCACAGCATTAGCGACTGCCAGAAGGCTTGCATTTTTTATGAATTTAATTTCAGGTATGTTGGATCGTATAGGGGAAACATCTGTTGAAAATGAAAGACTAAAAAAGCTTCAAGGTTTTCAAATTTTACTTTTAAAACATTGCATGCGACATTTTCACAATGCCAAAAGGGTCGTTTATTCAACATGCTCAATACACCCTGAAGAAAATGAGGAAGTGGTAAAAGATATCCTTTCCTCTACTTATAACTTTAAGTTGATGTCTGCTAAAAACTTACTAAAGGGGCCTTGGCTCAATTTTGGCTCCTCTAAATATGGAAATATTGGCAAAAACTGTCTCTATAGCAGACCCGAAAAAGATCTCACCAACGGCTTTTTTGTCGCAGTTTTTGAAAAAGTAAGTGATGAGGAGGTAAACCCCTATTATAGAAATAACAATAAAAATTTATATAATCAAATTGAAGAAAATGACATAAGAGTACTAAAAACACAAGAAGAAAGTGAGACTAATCTTTCAAATTTAGGTGAATTAAGTAACAGGAAGAAAAGTAATTTTCAGTCTGTGTTGAGAAAAAAGAAAAGATCAACAAAGAAAGTCAAAAGGGAAATTGTCGTTAGAGCGAATGTGGAAAAATTGAATCCTCATGTTGTTTATGATGATAATTTTGGTAATGAAGCCAAAAAAGTTAGTGATGCAACTAAGAGAATTTCAAAAATAACAAGCGATAGAAACAATGATAACAGTAATAGAAATGTTGAGTTTATTATACAAAATCCTTTAGAATCAATTAAGAAAGAGGAACACTTAAATAAAATTAAAAAGAAAAGAAAACGTGATGATAGGGAATATAATATCAAAAAAATTAAAAAACAGTTTAAGGAGATGCAACCATCTGGATACATCGATGAGAAAGAAGAGAGGGATGAATGTGTATTAAATATTAATCAATCTAACAGTAAGTTAAAAACAAAGAAAAAGAAAAAAGAAATAATCGATAGTGATATAAATAGAGTCGATGGCAATGCAGTTTTACTAGATATGAATAAAGTGGCAATACAAAAATATGAACACCCGGAAACTTATATCGTAAATGAAAAATCCAATTTCATAGAGGCTCAAAAGAAAGAACTAAAAATATGTGCTGATCAGGAATGGACTAACGGTGCAAAAGCGAAATCTACCAATAGCGGATGTATTACAATTGATGCACTGAAAGTCAGTTCAGAGAAAGAAAAGTTAAAGAATAGATTGTTAAAGAAGACATTTACTTATTTAAACCAGAACGAATATACTGATTTAGAAATGTGTACTAATAGCAATAGTTCAATTTTAAACCACAACGAAAATAAACTCGAAAAGAAACCAAATAAAAGTGCGCATGACGGTTTAGAAGATAGACTAATGATAGAATACGAAAATAAAAACAATGTGAAGTATTTAGAGGGTACAATTAATAAAAAAAATGATAAAGAAAAGAAATCACACAAAAAAAAGTGTAAAACTACAATGATTCCGTTTAGAGGAATAATTGAAAACAACATTACCCTTATTAAGAGTACAGACAAGTTGGATAGTAACGAAGACTACGAAGAAAATAGTATAAAGCTTGATGTTAAAAATAATTATTCAGGTTGTAAAAAAAGTAAAAAAGGGCACTCTAACAATAAACTAAATGGTAGTATTGGAGTAGAAAAAGCTGGGATGGGTGATAGCAAATTGTCTACCATTAGTAATTCTGAAAACAGTTCTATTAATATTTATGTAAAAGATACTGAAGAGTGCGAATCAGATATCGGAATTAAAGATTCCAAAAAAAAGTCAAAGAGAAAAAATTGTGATACATCCATATTGGATGAAATCGTGGCTATTGTGAAAAATTAATGATCAAAATTATTAGCTGTTTATTGTTGAATGTAGCTCGAGAAAAAGTAATAAAAAACTTATAAGTACCCAATGTTTAAAAAATTATGAAACGTAATATAAAAGCTAAAAAAAATACAGGCAAATTTTTAATATTCATTTTTACATTTATTTAGTAATGTAAATACAACAACTTAATGTTTAAAACTTGAAACGTTTTCTTCATCAAAATAAAAACCATAATGAATGTGTATTTTTGTTTTATTTAATAATGCTTCGACAACGAAGGTCGAAATAACAATTACTAGTCTATCTGTAACTTCGGCCTATTTAAATATACGACTAAAAAAACAGGTAATGGTGGAGATTATACGCAGTTAAATCGTAAATAAACCCCCCGACCCCCACCACCCCCGATCCAATTGCTCATTTAATATTTGCGGAATATCTATAAATTTGTCATCCCATAAATATTTTAGGAAGAATGGCAAATTTATCGACAACCCCCGTAAGTATTTCATGCACGATTAGGTTGAGGATGAAAAGAGGAAGGAAGTGATGTTAAAAATTTTGGACATCTTTTAAACAACTCCTCTCCCCCTTAGATCTTACAAAGGTCGAGGGTGTGAAAGGATGGTGATTGCTCAAATCTTCTCCCATTACCTAGCCTAACCTTACTTTAATCGGTAAATTAGTCATTTCGCAAATAGAGTTTTTTTTTAAACATACTTTTAATAACCTTTTGCCTACGCTACATACCCTAACCTAATTTTACTCGAATTATCTACAAGATATCAATAACTCCTGCTCTTCAAAAGGAGAAACTATTTAAGAAACTTTTTGATTAACCCATTCAAATAAAAAGCATGTTTACAATATTTAGCAAAAAGCAATAAATTACATTGATAAAAGACTCTGTTTTACAATTAGTACTTAAATAACGGACTGTGTCAGATAGCGGTAGAAAAGAAAAACCAATTTTTTGGTCTGCCAATGATGGAGGTTATAGTTTTAGCCACAAGCTACAGAACAATGTATTAAATAACATGCAGAATGTATTAATGCGTATTTAAACGTTAACATTTCGTTAACATTAACATTTAACAGTTAACATTAACAAATTCGTTCATACAAACAGCTTCTCAGTGCAACTTTTTACAATTTGACAATTTTAATTCCAGTCATAGGGACACTTTTGTAACTGACCCAAAAAATGAAAATGGTAGTTTTCAACATATTTTGCAATTTGAAGGTCATAAAAGTATGGCTAGATAATTTGGAGAAGGATAAGTAATGATAGAGCAACATGATCTAAAAAAAAATCTAACATTCGTTTTTCTGTTTAAGCAAAAAGACCGGAGCAAAGGTAAATTTGCGAATTTCTTGAAAAATATTTCTTATCGAGAGGTTAGGCATGTGCACTACACGGTATACTGATCGTATGTTGTTTGCTATTGTACTGATCGTTAAACTAATTTTAATCAAACACAAATAGTACCCAACGTGTATGTAATATGTAATTACATAAGTTTCTTTTTAAGTAAGCTCTTACATTTTCAATTCAATTCATCTCTTTAAACTCCTCCGAACATCCTCTTTTAACACATCTCAAACCTTTTTTTTTCCGATCAGATATATTTAAGTTATATTGTAATTAAAATTAAGTTTAAATTACACTAAATTAATTTACGTTACTCAGTATTTTTAAAGAAAATAATGAAAAATGAAATAAACATAAAATATTGACTGTATTAAAGTACAATTCAAATTAAGGATAGTAATAAGAGTGGCGTGCGGCACATTTGGTTAAGTCTATGAATACGAGTAAAAATGAAAAACTAAAATGTTACGTAACACAAAATGAATAAATCAAATCTTAAGAACGAGTGTTCGCAGTGAAAAGCCAGTTAACATATTTATTCTCTTTTACTGGCTGGCATACGCTTGTGGAATTATTGAAAAAGTTTGCGTGACCTCCTTGTCAAGTTCTCATCCGGTAGCAGTGAAACGTTCGATATCACAATGCTGACCAGCACACTATACTACATTAGCCCCTTCTGTCAAATTAGCGTCAATAGTTTCCCTGTTCCTTACTGACCCAAATTACGCTCAGGTACCTACCTATCAAAAATGAAACAAGTGTGTTTATAATTGGCTGTTACGAACACACCCTTGGAGGAATTGGACACATTGAGAAGCGTTTTATCAAAAGAATCAGATTCACCGTACTAATAAACTGTAAGAGGGAGGTGAGAGAAAACGTCTAATTGGTCGTTTGAAATTGTTTTCTTTCTAAATCTTCGCATTTCCCCAATACTAGAACAACCCACAACCTTAACTATTTGTGAACAGTAATCTAATCTAGGTCTCGCCTATTTTTATTGACTTCCATAAAGTCCTCTGTTCTCCTATTCTTTCTAATACCTCTTCATTTCTAACCTTCTCTATCCACGGTATTCTCATCATTCGCCTGTAACACCACATTTCGAACGCTTCTAACCTTTTCTTTTATGCCACGCCCACTGTCCATGTTTCACACCCGTACAGCGCCGTGCTCCAAACATACACCTTTAACAATTTTTTTCAAATTTCTAAATTAACCGTTCGCAAGCATAGAAGTGACTTCTTTTTATTGATGGCGACTCGACCCTGCGCTATCCTCTGCTTTATATCCTTACTACTCCTACCGTCCTGACTTATATGACTTCCTAAATACCTAAAATCAGTCACTTCTTCTAATTTTTCGTCTCCTATGTTTATATCCGCTCTTTCCCTACTTTTTCTTCCCTTGCATACCAGTATTTTTGTTTTANCGCTATCCTCTGCTTTATATCCTTACTACTCCTACCGTCCTGACTTATATGACTTCCTAAATACCTAAAATCAGTCACTTCTTCTAATTTTTCGTCTCCTATGTTTATATCCGCTCTTTCCCTACTTTTTCTTCCCTTGCATACCAGTATTTTTGTTTTACTTTTATTTATTTTCATACAGTACTGTTTTATCAGTACCGCATCCATTTTATTTAAAACTATCTCTAACTCCACCTTGCTAGCAGCTAATACTGCTATATTATCTGCAAATCTAAGCTTACTAATTTTTTGCCCCTGTATATCTATCCCTATAGTGGTACTGTTTTTTATCAAGTCTAATAATAAAATAATAAAAGAGTTTTAAGTAATTATCAGGTAATGTTATTATTTCTTAGGAGCCAAAGAACTATAAACAAAATTGGTTAGAAAAAATAATTGAAAATACTTTTTGGGACGTAATAATCGATATCACTCTAACTGATTAGAAATACTTACCAGAAATAACGACAAATTATTATGTTTTTTATCTGTCTCTTGTTTCTAAACTATTTATCCTACGAAATAATTACTAGGAATTATGGTATTACTGTTACTTATTCTCCATAACTATTTTTTTTTTCAAATTTACTTAATGGTTTGTTAGAAGAGAAAAAAATTAATTGTACTATAAGATACAAAAGAATATGTAGAAATATGTGTATCATAGTGTTTCAAAACTAATATTGTTTTATGAATAAACCGCAGCAATTCTATTTATAATTTAACAGTTAACTTTTAACTTATTTCATAGAGCGAAAAACATAAAATTTACTTTATTTATCACGAACTTATATTACTTGAATCAAGCTAGCGATTAAAAAAATACTTAATAATAAATCACTAATTTAAAATTCTAATCGCACCCATTCAAGTAAGGAATGGGTTGCTACGTTGCTAGAGGGATAATGCTCCACGCACCGTTTACACGAACCTTTCCGATTTAGTTCCGCACTTAAAAGTTACAAGTTTAACACTTTACAGTTACATTGGAGTAGGTAAAGTTAGTTTGTTTTAAATGACCTATGATTTCTTAAAAGCTGAACTTCAAAAGTTGTTTTACAATTCAGTTGAGTCATCTAAAATGACGAGAGATTTTTGCTTTTAAATGTTTACTTTAATGTAACATTGACTGTACAATTATCGTTTCGACCTATTGAACCTTCTCCAAAAGTATCTTACGTATCCATTTCCTTTATTTCTTTATTTTATTTTTTACTTGTAGAGACTGTCAGAATAAAAAAAATTGATGGAAATTAAAAAGGCATTATTAAGACTTCTTCTTTCATCTATGTTGAAGCCTAACTTATTATTTATTTATTTATCTGCGATTCTTTGTGTACATAGCTACAGAAGGAAACGTTTACTGTGCGTGGCTAGATTGAAATACAATCGATGGTTTATAAGGTTTCAAATGCAAACGTGTTTTAAATACACGCTACAATCGTCTGTGGGATGTGCAGTTCGCGAGGAGTACCCCGGATTGTATCAGTTGCTCAATGACTTCGTCAGATGGATTTGGACAACCTAAGGATTTCTTATTTTTTCTGCAAACCATTTGTGTCATCCATAAATTACGATGAATTGTAGCTGGCTTTGATTCTTCTTCAAACTAAAACACACAGCTATTTAGCACTAGGGTCCAGTAAAGACAGCCATCGTTAACGCAACTGCCGCAAGCGATTGTTATGATGCGATTTACTACTAGAACTATGCGAATCAAAACTTGATGTGTTTCCTTACAAATTGGCACTACAATGAGCTCTGTAGGTTCTCTAAATAAATGTATATGACTTTTCAAAGTTGTAAAGTCCTTTTTGAATTACCCTGTACTTAACTAAATTTTAATCTTATTAACTTCAAAACTAATTTCACATCTATGCTTTCGGTCACCATACGATGTCACAAAATATAAACAATTTTAAAGGTAAAATGCTTATCTAGTACAACTTTTACTAAAGTATTTTGAAGCTTTCTTTGTTTTTATGCATTTCATCCGTAATTTATTATTGATAGAAACTGAATTCCAGTATCGAGTATCGACGTCGTTATTATTGTTTTAATACTGTCCTCATATTTTTGTTCTGATACCTACTTACATTTTTTGTTTATAAAAGAATATAGGTACTTCTAAGGTTGATTAAATTAAATTTGAATAATGTAAACAGTATTCGAGTCCTGTCGTAATTTGCATAAAAATCTAATTTCCTGTACTCAATTTTTTTACAAAATAATGGGGGTCACCGGAGTTCATTATTATTCGTGCAACTCATTACCACAGTACCTATACGTATACGGCGGTTAAATATTAAATTACATAAATGCTTACTAACTCATTAAATCAAACTTAAAGTTCTGTAATCTGGTGATAAATATTTTATTAATG